ACAAGGCTAGCACTAATCCAAAAAACACAGAATAATAAATGCTGGAGAGGTTGTGGAGAAACTGGAACACTTATACACTGCTTATAGGAATGTAAAATGGTACAACCACTTTGGAAATTGATTTGGTGCTTCCTTAAAATGCTAGAAATAGAAGTACCATAGGATCCAGCTATCCTGTTCCTTGGAATATATCCTAGAGAAATAAGAGCTGTCACACGAATAGATATATGCACACCCATGTTCATTGCAGCACTGTTCACAATAGCAAAAAGATGGAAAGAACCTAGGTGCCCATCAGTGGACGAATGGATAAACAAATTATGGTATATCCACACAGTGGAATACTACTCAACAATAAAGAACAATGGTGAAGCTGTGAAACATCTTATAACATGGAGGAAGCTGGAGGTCATTATGCTGAGTGAATTTAGTCAGTCACAGAAGGACAAGTACTGTATAAGACCACTATTATAAGAACTCAAGAAAAGGTTTAAACACAGAAGAAAACATTCTTTGATGGTTATGAGGGTGGGGAGGGAGGGTAAGGGTTATTTACTAACTAGATAGTAGATAAGAATTATCTTAGATGAAGAGAAGGACAGTACACACTACAGGGGAAATCAGCACAACTGGACTAAACCAAAGCTAAGAAGTTTCCTGAATACAGTCAAACACTTTGAGAGACAGAGTAGCAGGAGTGGGGGTCAGGGGACCATCCCTTCTGGGGACATCTAGGTCAACTGGCATAACAAAGCTTGTTAAGAAAACGTTCTGCATCCTACTTTGGTGAATGGCATCTGGGGTCTTAAAAGCTTGCAAGTGGCCATCTAAGCTGCAGTTGGTCCCAACCACCTGGAGTAAAGGAGAATGAAGAACACCAAAGTCACAAGGAAAGTAGTAGCCCAAGAGACAGAAAGGGCCTCATAAACCAGAGACTTCATCAGCCTGAGACCAGAAGAACTAGATGGTGCCTGGCTACCACCAATGACCTCCCTGACAGGGAACACAACAGAAAGTGTCTGATGGAGCAGGTGAAAGGCGGGGTGCAGAACTCAAATTCTAGTAAAAAGACCAGACTTAGTGGTCTGACTGAGACTGGAGGAACCCCGGAAAGCATGGCCCCTGGATTCTCTATCAGCCCAGAAATAAAACAATTTCCGAGACCAATGTTTCAGACAGGGATTGGACTGGACTGTGGGACATAAAGTGATACTTGTGAGGAGTGTGTCTCTTAGCTCAAGTAGATAGAAGAGACTAAATGGGCAGCTTCTGTCCAGAGGTGAGATGGGAAGGCAGAGAGGGTTAGGAGCTGGTTGAATGGACATGGGGAATGAGGGGTGGAAAGGAGGAGTGTGCTTTTCCAATATGGGGAGAGCAAGTAGGGTCACATAACAATGTATGTATAAATTTTTGTGTGGGAGACTAACTTGAAATGTAAACTTCATTTAAACTACAACAATAAAAAAAGAAAATGCGTGTATCAATTTGGCTGAGCCATGTTTTCCTGTACTGTGTGGTTGTCCTCCATTTTGTGATTGTAATTTTATGTTAAAGAAGATTAGGGTGGGATTGTTACAGCCTTACTAAAGTCACATCCCTGATCCAGTGTAAAGGGAGTTTCCCTGGGGTGTGGCCTGCACCTCCTTTTATCTTACAAGAGATAAGAGGAAAGGGAAGCCAGCAGAGAGTTGGGGACCTTATACCACCAAGAAGGAAGCATCAGGAGCAGAGCGCGTCCTTTGGACCCGAGGTTCCTGCGCAGAGAAGCTCCTAGTCCAGGGGAAGATTGATGATGAGGAGGACCTTCCTCCAGAGCCAACAGAGAGAGAAAGCCTTCCCCTGGAGCTGATGCCCTGAATTTGGACTTTTAGCCTACTAGACTGTGAGAAAATAAATTTCTCTTTGGTAAAGCTATCCACTTGTGGTATTTCTGTTATAGCAGCACCAGATGACTAAGACTACCACAATTTACTTATCCATTCTACCTTAAAGCATTTGGGCACTTTCTAGTTGGGGGCTAGTATGAATAGTGCTGCTGTGAGCATTCTTGTGCATGTCTTTTGGTGCCAACATGTATGCGTTTCTGTTGGTATATACCTACGAGGGGAATTGCTGGGTCATAGAATAAGCATATACTCTGCTTCCACACATATTGCCAATTTTCAAAAGTGGTTGTACCAATTTGCACTTCCACCATCAGTGTAGAGGAATTCTGTTTGTTTCATATCCTCTACAACACTGATAGTATCAGTGATAGTATCAGGTTTTTAAACATTTTAGCTCTTCTGGTAGGTGTATTGCATTGTGGTCTTCCTTTCCATTGCCCTGAGAAGTAAAGAAGTTGAGTTTCTTTGCATATGTTTCTTGGCAGTTTGTATGTCTTCTTTTGAGAAGTGTTTGTTCAAGCATTTTACCTATTTGCGATAGCATAGTCTATATTGTCCTTATTGATATGTAGCGGTTCTTTGATTGATTGTGGATATGAATCATTTGTTGAATGAATGCAGTGATGTGCAGGAGCCTGATCATGAGAGCAGACAGTCTGCAACTCTTCCCAACTCTGTGATCAGTGACAGCAGATAGGTCACTTGAAATCTGCCAAGGTGGGAGTGTTTACACCGTGGAAGTCGGCAAACACTACAAATCCGGTATTTTTTCCCCTCAAAGAGCTGATTTACCAGCACACCATTAGATAAATGTATTACAAGTAGCTTTTTCTAGTCTGTGGATTGCCTCTTCACTCTTTTTTAGGTACATTTTGAGGAACAGAAGTTTTTAATCTTAATATATGTCTACTCTGTCAGAATTTTCCTTTGTAGTTAGAAATTTTTGTGTCCTATTTAAGAAAACTTTGCCTACACCTCTATGTTTATTTATATGGCTAGGTAATCATTATCAGTTTTGAAATATTCTACTTTGCTTTTCCCCTACTGATGCAGGACCACCATGTACAGTTGTATAGGTTGTTCACTGCCCAAGAGGTAAGTAGGGGCTGAAATCCAGCCCTTACTCCACTCAGTAAGCCATGGCTGGCATAGGGCTGCATCTCATCAGAGAAATGGCACCCTTTTCTAATTCTCACAAAGGCATTGGATGGTCTAGGGCTCTGATACGTTGAACCCCACACTGTCTTTCCAGCCTACCAAACTGAATTGCCTGCTCTTCCCCTTCACACGTTGTACTTTCCTGCCTCCATGCTTTCGCTCTTGCTGTGCTCTTCTATCTCTACATACTCTCATTTCAAATCTGTCCATCAAAGGCTATCTCAAATACCCCCTTCAGGCCCCTTGCCATTTTGCCATCTTGTATTACAACTTGCATGTCTGGTCTCCCCCACCAGGCTAAACTGCTTGAGGACAAAGACCATACCATTTGAATCCCTGGTGGTGCTTTGCCCATAGTAGACACGCAGTAAATATGCACGAATGAGTGACTTGTTGGGTCTTGGGGTATTTCCAGTTCTGCTGCGGTGGTATTAGTGCCCACCTTGCCAGGGTTACCTATTCCCCCAGCACTTAGGAGCCTCCTGCTCTGCTCCTCTTACACTTTGCCCCAGCACGTAGCAGTCTGCCTGCTGTTTAGCAGTTAAATATGCAGCCTCTGTATATATCAGCTATTTTATCTGCAGAACTACAGCGTATTTTACAAGTAATCAGTTCATGCAGATTGCACATAAATCATGCCTGCTCTAGCCCTGTGGACACTAATGTTCCCTTATTAAGGCATAAGTAAGCCTTCGTGTTCCCATCCATTCTTTTTGACTTTTTTTTTTAATTACTTCAAAGTATAGCCTAGTGTTGCTACACCCCCTGCCACCCCCACCATACACTGCTTTTTTGAGGTTCAGTTTGTTTTTCTGGAGCTTGCCAGATTGCCTTAGGAAGCTGAGTGCCTTGTGAATGGATTGAGCAAAGGGAAATTCTTATCTCCAAAAGGAAGCGGTCACCGCGTTTCTGTTTATGATATTCTTGGCTGGTTAATATTTTTGTGCAATATGTTCTGGTGGCAGCCCCCGAACGCCAGAGAAGAGAGAAATATTGGTCATGCTCAGTGCACAAAAGGAAAATATCTCCTGCTGAAGTCTGGGGAGTGGAGAAAAGTCGTTCCATGAATGTCATTCTGCCTAAATAAACAGAGAACCTTCATTGTTTTTAATCCCTTGAAAGATGGGAAGCTCAGCACCCACCCCACCACCCCCAGCATGCACATGATTTTAACCTTTCTCCATTTTCTTTCCAAGCTGTAGCTACAGATCTTCGCACTAACACACATTGATTTCTGCTTCCAATTTCTCTGGCCCTGCTATTAGTGTTCAGCCAGTTTTCATTTTGGTCTAAAATGACTCTCGAAGAGCGTGGAAGCGTACTATTATTTCCCACGGTTTGGTCTACAAAAGAATAAAAGGGGGACTTTGCGACAAGGCCCCATAAAAGTACTGCCATCTACTTTTAGAGATGTTTTATGAATATAAATTCCTGTCTAAATAATTACTGTTGAGGGTAGAAAGGTCTTTGGGGTTTTGGAAACTGTAGCAACAACTTATTATTCTCTCTTAACCACAGCAAAGGTGACACATCTCTTGTTTTTTTTTTCCACATGGGTTGACACTATAATGCACAGTATTGCTTTTTAGATCCCATCTTTTTAATCATGCACACAGAATATAGTGGAACTGAGGCACTCTGAAGTATTGTTTTCCTCAGAGATGGGAAAAAAATATATAAAACAGGTATGGTTTTGGTGTCATTTAAAAATCACAGGATGGCTGGTAATGGTATCTTCACAGAAAGAGAAGTCAGCCTGGGTACTGAGCTAGCACAGTTCCACTTGTTTTATGTCAGATATTAAACTATAGATTTCATAAAGGCTGAGGTCCTTTATGTTTTCTTCAGGAATGTCATGGGGTCTTTTATACTATGGTGTTTAAAAACAAAATCTCAGTTAAAAAAAAAAAAATCACACATTTTCCTCTCCTCCTTTTTTTTCTTCTGTTGCTGCAGCTGCTGAAATGGGTTGCAGATTGAACAAGTTAGAGAAACGCGATGAGAAGCGGCCTGGGAATATTTACTCAACTTTGAGGAGGCCTCAGGTGGAAACCAAGATCGACATGTCCTATGAATACCGCTTCCTGGAGTTCACGACTCTGAGTGCCGGTGAGTACACGCGGTCTCTTGCTTTCGTGGTAACCGGGGTGAGTTTGGGCACAGCCTGGCGCCCGCAGCCCTGTCCATAAGCAGGGTCTTTACCAAGCGTTCCCCTGTGCAAACGCTAGCAGGGCCTGGCAGCGACATAATTTGGTAGGTGGGCAGGTGTAGTGGGTTTGTGAGGACCTGGAAAAGATGGGCCTGTCTCAAGAGGATAGTTTGCAGAAATCCAGATTTTTATGTGAGACCTCTCACTTTTTAGAAGATAGCAGCTGGTTAAAATCACTAATTAAAATGATAACAAATCAAAACTATGGGCCAAATAATACATATGGGGAGGCTGAATTTGGCCTTTGCGCCACCCAGTTTGCAGGCTCTGTTTCATGGAAAGCCCCATGGAAAAGGAAATTTGCCTTGTCTCGTCATACAAATCTGCCGTGCCTGCCCAAATTCACCTGCCTGTTCTCTGCCATCTTTCAAGAATACTTGTCTGTATGGGCGTGGCTTTGCCTTACTTGAGCCAGAGGGTGTCTGGGTCACCTGCCTCTCCCAATGTCCCGAGGTCTGAGCAAACAGAGACTGGCCCTGGGGTGGCTGGCTGGCAAGGGATGATCAACTTAACCACTCCAGAGCATTAGCTGAGCACCTACTGTGTGCAGTGTTGGGCTGGTGCTATGGGGAAATTGTGAGGTGTGTCCTGGCTTCCTGGAGTTTCTTCCCTAGTGAGGGAAGGAGATGCATACACATAAACGAAAAAAAGAAATTAACACAATAGGTTATAACTGTGAAGAGGAAAACATGTAAAATGCATTTTCAAAAGTGGGAGAGAGCATTCTTGCATTCGTAGAGATGGGTCCCAGGAAGTTGAGAGCAAAAACCAGGCACTGTATAACTAAGACGTTTAAGGCACTGTCTCTCTGGGCTTCTGGGTATATGTTAGCCTTTGTTGACAGGTAAGAGAATTAGTGGTGAAAGCTCTTGTATTAGTTTCCTAGGGTGCTGTGACAAAGTACCGCAAACTGTGTGGTTTAAAACAACCGAAATTAATTCCCTCGCGGTTCTGGAGACCAGATGTCTGAAATCAAGGTGTTGGCAGGGCCCCCCTCTCTGAACTCTCTAGTAGATGATCCTTCCTTGTCCCTACCAGCTTCTGGTAGTCCAGGCATTCCTGGTCTAGTGGTAGCATTACTGCAACTTCTGCATCTGTGGTCACTTGGCTGTCTTCCCCGTGTGGCTGTCTGTGTCTGTGTCTTCTCATCATCAGTCACCAGTCATATAGGATTGGGACCCCCCCCCCACTCCAGGATGACCTCATGTTAATTTAACTCTTCATGTCTTTGAAGACCCTATTTCCAACCAAGGCCACGTTTGCAGGTGCTGGGAATTAGGACTCAGCATACTTTTTTGGGGAATACACTTCAACCCATAACAGCCCTTAAACTCCTGGAATTGAATCACAGCATCACTACAGAGTAACTGGGAAAATCACTAAACCTCTGAGGCCTTCAGTATCCTCATCTATAAAATGAGCATTTGAGTATCCACCTCGTAGGCCAGTTGTGAGGATTAAAAGAGAGAATGTGTGTGAAGCTCTTGGCACAATGGCTGCATGCAATAGAGGCTGCTAATATTACTAGTCCTACTACCAACTCCTACTCAACTCTTATTCCTACTTCTCTTCTGGGTCTCCAGCTGCATCCTGAACCCTGAGAGAGATGGGCAGCTGAGCGTTTCTGCAGGGACGTTCTGTATACTCCTCCAAGTTACCAAAACCCAACCCAGCATTTTCCTCATCAAACTGGTTCCTTCAGCACCCTTAATGAATAGTAACACCATCCTCTTCAACAGCCAGACTTGAACCCTTAGCCATCGATGGCCATTCCTTCTGCTTGCCCACAATTTCCATTTCATTCACCAAGCCTATCAAAACTACTTCTGAAAATGCTTACCATAGAGTTAATGTGAAGTTGAACAAATCCAGAAATAAAATTATTTAAGCTACTTGGTCATCCATTTACCTGTTCAGTGAATATTGGAGTGTCTATAATGTGCTAGGCATTGTAGAGTGATTAAGGAAAAAACTAAAAGCATGTTTAGGAAGCAAGATCAGGAGGAAATATACCAAAATGCTAAATATTGATCGTTAGGATGGTGAGGCTGTGGGGAATTCTTCTTTTTCCTTTTGGCATTGGGGTTATGTTTCTTTTATTATTAAGAAGAGTAATATTACTCATAAAACCCTCAGGAGTAAGTCTCCTTCTTTGTCTTCCCGCTGCTTCATCACTCATCATCTGAATTGTCTCAGTAACCTCCTTCTTTGTTTCCCTGCTTCCTTGTCTCCAGTCATAGCATCCATGCTGCTTTCCATTGTGCTTTCTTTGGTTGGATGATTTTTTGTTTTCAAGCTATAAAGTGAGCATATGCCCATTACAGAAAACTTGAAAAACACTGAGAAAAATCCCAACTGGCCTCCTTGCTTCTGCCTTTGTCCTCCTACAGGTCAGGTCACTCCCATGCTCAAAGCCTCCCATAGCTCCTACCTCACCAAGTGGCACCTTCTTCCCCTGACCTCATTCTCCTGCCTTTTGTCTTTTGTGTTCTGCTCAGTTGGCCTTTCTGTTGAAGCCCCTGGCCTCCTCATGGCTTTTGAACTGTCTGTTCTCTCTGCCTGGAAGTCCTTCCCCAGATACACCCTTGACTTACCTCCTTCCCTTTCCTCTGTGAAACCTTCCCTGCCCACCTGTTTAAAATTCCTACCTTCCCCCCAGCTCACTATCCCTTTCCCTGCTTGCTTCTTCTCCTTAGCACTTCTTACCACCTGTATATTTTACTAGCTATGCATTTGACTTATTGTAATTTGTTTGCTTGTTTGTTGTCTGTCTTCCTTCATGAGAAGGCAGAGTTCCTTCCCATGAGTGCAAAGATTTTGTCTATTTTATTCTCTGCTGTATCCAGTATGCTTAGAACAGTCCCTGGCACGTAGTAGATAATCAATAAATAGTTATTGAATGAATACTTTGATGTCTATTTTTGTATCCTGCTTTTTACCACTTAATATTGTATAGCAAGGCATACACCCTGTCATTACATATTCTCTGAGAAGATGGTTTAATGGCTGTGTATGATTTAATCATAGTGCATACCATAATTTATTTAGCAGTCCCTTTTTATTGGACATTCAAGTTATTTTGAGCTTTGGGCTACTATAAATAATGTTGTGATAAGCAATGCTGTACGTAAATATTCGTGCACATTTCTGATGATTTCCTCAGGAATTATTGAATTGAAGGATACGAATGTCAGGACTTTTGAGAAATTGCCAAATTGCCCTCCAGATAGGACTTGTTTGTATCAAACACAAATCTGATCATGCTGAACCCTTTGGCTGGTTCCCCTGGATAAATGAAAGTTCAAACTGGTGCTCAGGGCTTTCGGGGCTTGGCCCTGCCTTTTGCAGATTCTCTCCCACACATCCCTTGGGGAACCGTGTGCTGTGGTCACTGCATTGCTCAGTCCGCCCCCAGCTTCCCTGCTAGCTCATGTGGGCCCCTACCTTACAGGGCCTTGTCACCCCCTGCTGCCTGCCAGAACTTCACCCCCTCTTCCAGGTCCAACTGAAATTGTTCTTTCTTGACATCCATCCCATCAGAATTACTAACTCTTTTCTGACACCTATAGTTTGACAGTACCACTCTTATGACACTTTTATTACATCATATATTAAACTTATTTGTGTTTCCTTGAGGGCAAAGACCAAGCCTTGTTCATCTTTCTGTGTCCCAGCCAAGAATAGCGAGAATAGCGTGTCTTAAATAGGAGAGTTCTAGAAAACCTACAAAGTAAATGCTTGTTACATATGCTGACTCTTTTCCCTGGCAGCCTCTCAAGTTTTTTTTCAAGAGGTTCTAGTAAGATCATTTTCTCTTGCTGCAGAAGGGAACATTTGTTAAGTGCCAAGTTCTGTGTTGGAGTATTCTATTCCTGATCGCATTTTTTTCTAATTTTTTTGAAGTACAGAAATGGCACATATTTTAAGTGTTCAAACCTTTGAAACCATCACCACAATCAAGATGCAGAACATTTCCATTACCCTCTTTGTAATCCCTCTTTTCCTCGAGCTCCCTGTCCCGTCCCCTGGCAACCTCTGATCTACTTTTATTTTTTAGAATTTTATGTAAATGGAATCATATCGGAAACCCTGGTGGTGCAGTGGTTAAGTGCTACGGCTGCTAACCAAAAAGTCGGCAGTTCGAATCCACCAGACGCTCCTTGGAAACTCTATGGGGCAGTTCTACTCTGTCCGATAGGATCCCTATGAGTTAGAATTGACTCGATGGCAATGGATTTGGTTTTTGGTTTGGTTTGGTGTCATATTGTATGTACTCATTTTTGTCTGGCTTCTTTCACTTAGTATACATATTTTGAGATTCATTTATTTGGTTGGGTGTGTATATAGTTCATTCCTTTTATTTCCCAGTAAAATTCCATTGTATAGATGTACTGCAGTTTGCTTATCCATTCGTTTGTTGATGGACATTTGGGTCTTTAGCAGTTCTGGGCTATTACAAATTAAGTTGCTTTGAACATTTGCCTTTGTGTGGATTCTTATCTCATTTTATCCTCATAGTAGCCCGGTGAGGTATATAAGTATGCTCATTCCTTTATGCAGATGAGGAATGAATGCTCAGAGAGGTTAAGCAACTTGCTCAAAGATGCAGTGCTAGGAAGTGACAGGGGTGGACTTCAAATCTAGGTCTCTCGGGTGCCAAAGCTCTTGTACCTTATAAAGTGCAAGGTGCTGGACAGATAGGCATTAACCCTAATTAAAGCACTCTCGTTAGAAAACTTGGTTGTCCTCTAAAGGGCCATAAGAATATTCCTCTTCCATGAGGTTTTGTCCACAGAATATTTTTAAACGGCACTTGATATATTTATTTCTCATAGAGAAGATGCTCATCTGACTTTTAAGCAAATAATTTGTCAGGGAAAAGGAGTTGGCCCAGTTCCAC